CCCGCTTAGATGAACGGTCAGCAAAAAAAGTGTATCACAAATAACAAAAAAATGTATTTAAAGAAATTAAGCTTGTAAAATGTACATTCACGTGTATATAAAATTGTTATAATACTGGATAAAATACAGTAATATTTTTTTATTGCACAAACCTAAATACCTAAAACTAAAAAAAAGACCATTTAAAAATGTGTGTAAGACAGTCTTATTATCTATAACAATTTGAATAGAAAAATAAAAGTCAGTAAATAAAGGGCAATCTTCGAAAATATAGTAGCTTCATAAACATTAAAAAACACCTTTTGTACATATAAGATTATATCGAACTTAAGTACAATATAATATTATAACAGCGCTTACCAACACGGAGGTTACACAATGGCGTTGTTATCAATAGACTGCTCTGTTATCATGCTGTGTACAAGCTAGACTTGCAATATTGCTGACCATACAAACCAGTTCACTTTCAATCCGCATTCCGTTCAAACTGCTGAATCATGCGCACAAGTAACAAAATTAAGGCAGTTTACATACGACGTGATTGCAATAATCGCATAGGAGAAGCCACTTTCTTTGTATGAAATAAAGTCTAAAAGTCTAAAACTGAAAAAGAGTAAAAAAATTAGAAACTATATAGTCATGTATTGACAAAATGTTTAAATATACAAATCTGCTTGAATAGAGATGCATTGATAACTCGGCAATGTACACGTACGATCACAATTTTTTGATCGACTTTAATCTAAATGTTGCAGTAAGCACTAGTTTACTACAGTCGGGTAAACTGCCTAGTCGGCTAGTCGTATCTCATACGTCAATACATACATTTTGTTTCGGTAAATTTGCACATCTCATGATCTAATTTTTTTTCTATAATTCTGCTTTAGGTGGAAGACATTTGCTTATAAGCGACAAGGCCGCCCATTGAATTTCATTCTAGTATACAAGACTCGTTTATTGTTTCTATCAGTGCAATAGTTTTAATTCGTAAATACGGATATGAATTCGGCGTTCTTTTTTGGAATCTGCATATTTTAAAATTTTAAAGCATTACAGCAGTAGCTCAAATGGTTAAAGTAACAGCACGGAACCTTGTGGATGCCGGTTCGAATTCCGCCCGTGTGGTAAAATTATTTTAATCTAAAAACGGTATTTTAATTTATATAATGCCATTATGTGCAATACAATGCGGAAACATAAATGTTTGAAATCTGAAAGCATTTTTATATAACTGTTCGTTCAGTAATATATCAAAAATTTCTTCGTCTGTAAACAGCCTTATACGCAATGTGTACTACGTCCATTCATACTCATCCCATGTCAGTGTCAGCGACCGAAGATGAGCGTAATGCAAATAAACTCGTTCCGAGGAACTTCTTGATATATCGTTCGTTACTTTACAATAAAAGCAACATCGACCATTTTATTAAGTCGTTTTCTGTTTTATTATCTGTGGGTTTTTCCTAATTTTATGACTCTAGAATGTAAATTATGGTTTATTTTATAGGAGTTTTTGGACTCGCAAAATTGCTAATTAGACAACAATAACCAAGTTAGAACGTACGGGCAGCAAGCGATTTTTTATGTATTATGATTCCAATCACTTCAATAATAATCAGTAAGTATCTTTATTAGGCCTAACCTTTATTTTGTTTACTTTAATCCATTTGGCGATAAAAATAACACAAGCAGCTAAAATGATTTCAAATTAAATTGCATCAATAATTTTTAAACTATTTGCAAATAACATAGGTCCAGTCAGTTAATTTATTCATATATTTTTTGTATGCGGTTTAAAATAAATAATGTCGGACAACCATAAATTCTTCTAGACCCTGCACCGCATTGTAACCTTGAATTAATTCCGGTAAAACTAGCATTAGAATTAGATTTACGTATCAAGTATCAAAGGTAACTTGCTCTGTAGTGGAACAATTAAAATAATTTTATTTGGTTCGCTTTTATCGCTGTGATTGCACGAAAGATAATCGCTTAACACGATAAAGACTGCTTAGATACATACACATTTTTATAATAGAGGAAGGACAGACAAGCATGGCGTTCATTTTAAGGAAGGTGAAATACTATATAACATCTAAACACGATGTGCTGTCGACTATTTTGGCTTTGAAAACCACAGACTGTAACCGAAACGCGCCTAAAATTCACGGCTTTTTCATCTGTGGATGGTGGTTCCTGCCACGGACGGAACTTAATATGCCTTCATTTTCCAGTTTTCCAATTTTTGAGAAAAAATATAACTCGATCAGAAAAATGGTGGACCCAGTTTAGATCGAATCCACGACCAAGACTCAGCACGACGAACGACTCCGTGAAACATTTCTTTAGATTATTTTGACAGACCAAAAACACATATGATGTGATGTGACACATCACATGTGTTTTTCTTTTTCTTTAAGACAGATAAAAACAGACAAACTAGCAAAAAAAAGAACTAGCAAAATTCAAATAATTCGATATTCGAAAGCCACAAACTTAGATTAATTCTTTTTTTTTACAAAATCCTTAATTTAATACAATACTTAATATGTAGAGCAAGGTCAAAGAAGTAATGTTATAATTACTAAACCGCATTCTCATTGAAGTTCTAGCGTCTGTACGCATAATAATGTAATACGCCGGTCTTAGTAGTGCTAAATTTCGAAAGGGTTTATAATTATAGGTTTATATAACTAGTATTAGTTGCTTTAAGTTTATGTTATAAGACAACTTTTATATATTAAAAAAATAAAGATGCAAAGTGTTATTATATTTATATTATGTTATGCTATTATTTAAAAAAGTTCTAGAACCGTCTTCCTGTCTCAATTTTTAAACGCATTGCGTGTGAAATTCTGGATTCTATTATATAACAAAGTACAGAAGTCTGGTCAAATTTTTCGTAAATGAAACTCATTTTTGAAATTTAAACTATGTTTTTTTTATTAAAGTGAATTTTAATAGATTTTTAATTTATATAAAACGATCATGTGCAATAACATGTGAAGTGTTCAAATTATAGAAGGGTTTTCCACTGATAATCTACTTTGTTTAAAGGTTGAGAAATGTAATTGCATCCAATATGTTAAACAGAGTACTCATTTAATAATTTTACCGCAACCATAAAGTATCATAATAACACACAGGAAAGTGTACACATTATGAAGCATAATAACTGGCAACATATAAAATTACTTACATTAGTAGGGCTTTTATGATGAATTCTTAACGGTCCAAACAAATTAGATTCTTTCCGGAGATAGAGTTTTAGAACGTATGAGTATGTAATACTATTAACACGTGACTTTTCTCTCAAGTTAATAAAACAGTGAAAATAAAGAAACACAAAAAGACACGATGATTCCGTTTATAAAACGGACCACAGTTCGAGTCCCAGCCGTGACAACAAAAACAAAGTGAAATCTCGTTTCACAGCGTGGGACATTGGGCAATAACAGATCGAACCATTATTTTCTCAAACTCTTCAGCTTTATACCATTAGTATAGATTTCAATCTACGATTAAGTTTATATCAATTAATGGACTACTTGTGCAAACATAATAAAAAACGTTTTAAACAAAGGGATTGTGATATATCGGTTTACTACTAAATATGTTAATGAATTTTTGATTTTATAAAGATTTCATTTAAAAAATTGTATACCGAATTGTTATTACTATTACAGTAAACAATTCATAGGTTCCGCTGTATTGTATTAACGTTCTTAAATAGTTTTGTTTATAAATACGAAACATTTCATCTTAATGGTAAAGCAGTTCTTCTAACATTCGATTCTAAGTCAAGGCATTAAAAGCTAAATTCACCTGGCAAGGAACGAACATCAAAATATTAAGGTCATGATTTCGGCTTAAGATGCTGCAAGTTCATTGCCACGGCTATCATTACGTAAATACATACATTGCATAACACCTTTCTCATTGAAATCGTGATGAGACAAGCGATTTATGTTGATTGTTCATGGGCGTGTCATTGCAATTTTTTATTCCTCGTCGATGCACGACGCGGACGGCAAAGATAAAACGAAGTTTTGTTATGATTTTTACAGCCAAAAAACATTTATTTAAGTTAGACTAGGTACACTTATGAACGTCACACCAATTCAAATCTAAACACTCTAAATAAGTAAATATGGATATATTTATGTATATTTGTAAGTTCTCTTAGATTTGCTACGGGGCCAATTTAAATAAATGAAGAGTCAAACAGAAATTTCATGTGGGTAGTATTTATTTTAAGATAACTTTTGCTTGTCTCGTATCAAAATAATAACCATGTATATTTTCACATCTATACTAATATATAAAGCTGAAGAGTTTGTTTGTTTGTTTGAACGCGGTAATCTCAGAAACTACGGGTTTGAATTAAAAAATCTTTTTGTGTAGCATAGATAGAACATTTATCGAGGAAGCCTATAGGCTATAAAATATTGCGCTGTGACCAATAGAAGCGAAGTTACAACGGGAAATGTGAACAAAACGGCAGAATTTTTTCATATTCAGAACACAATATTCTATAAAATAAGTGCTTCAATAAATCATTGATTATTTAGTATGAAATACGAAGTTTAAAATTAAAAAAATCTTACTCAGCTCCAACAACAAAACTTAAGTTAGCTCCTAGTGTCGAAGATAACTACTTAATATATTAAAGTAACTAAAAGCTTTAGTTTTTTGAACGGTTATTAGTACCACTTAAATTTCTTCTTCTGTTACTCTCACTCACATTTGCCATCAATCATTCGACATTTAAACGAAATTTTAAAAATAATAAAAAGTAGCTAGCAACGATCGTATTACAGAAGTAATCTAGACCTACAATAGTTTGTCTTAACGTTCTAATCCACAGAGTATCACATATCTCAGTCTCATTATGAAATGAGGTATCATTTTTCATTCATTTTCATATAAATTGTGGAGATTTTATCTGATAGTCACATTCGTCAATAGTTCAATCTGGTGAACACTTTAAATCATACAACATGGTTCAAAAGGTAAAAATCTTCAAACGCCTCCTAATATTGTATTAACCATAGAAGTTATCATATTTTGTAAACATTCATTTTTATTAATGTATATTGTAATATTGTTAATCTTTTAATAACTTCCTAAATTATAGGTATACTGAATATCGTTTATTGGTTCTTGTTCCGCTTTTAAAGTTTTTATCTGTCAACCTTGTTCGGTCTTTGAACCGAGATTAATGCTTTTTTGTCATTTCTGACGGCGAATTATTTTTCATTCATTCACCTTTTATATATTTTCTCAGCGAGAATATCCTGCTTTATTAGTAACTATTTTTATGACTCTGTTTTCCACGTCTTTTATAATACCTGTTTGTTTCAGCTTATCATCTTCTCTGGTCTCATCATATCTGCCTCATGTATGTTCCTTCATCCAGCTCCTGTGCCACTTATACTAGAGCCATTCCAGGAACCGCAGACATCGTACGACTTTTCTTACCACGTCAATGATGCACGGACCGGTGACTTTAAATCTCAATCAGAAGCCAGGCGCGGAGACACTGTTCTAGGACAGTACTCATTAATTCAACCTGATGGTGTCAGAAGAGTAGTTGATTACCAAGCCAATGATCTCACCGGTTTTCTGGCAACCGTTAACAACCAACCTCTACTTAACGGACTCCCAATCAGTAGGGCTCCACAAGGAAATGAAATTCCTCAAGAAAACCAGGTAAGCGGCGATGCTCAACGTCAAGAGCAGAAGCAGGAACTTCAACAACAACAAAACCAACAACAACAAGCTCAACAGCAACAACAACAAGCTCCACAGCAACAACAACAAGCTCCACAGCAACAACAACAAGAGCAACAACAGCTTCAGCAACAATACCAGCAGCAACAGCAACAACAACAACAGTTCCAGCAACAGCAGCAGCAGCTTCAACAGCAACATCAGCTTCAACAGCAACAATATCTTCAGCAGCAACAGTTCCAGCAGCAAGAGGAATCTCCTCGCCAGACGACAGCTCCTGCTGGTGTATCAGTCGAGAACCAATGCCCAAGCTGTGCCAGCTCTACTCCTCCTAGTATTTCTCTTTCCACAGTTCTCCACCCCTACCAAAATAATATTTGGTACTAAAAATTTTACTGGATAAAAACAATATATTGCGGCCTATGAATAATGTGTTCGATTAACTGTTTATTTAAATATAGTATGGCACTCGTAATTTATCATGACTATTATTTCTAAACATATCCAAAAGCAGAAATACAAACTTACACGCCCATAATAAAAAACGAAAAAAAAAAATTTTATCTTTTTGTTATTTTCACCTGCAAACGCTAGTTTGTCAACAATCCATTATTAAATATACTATAATCAATAGTTAACGATAGTTACTACAGAAATCATCTAAAACTTTAAGTCGTAGTTAGATAAAAATACGAGTTTTAAACGGTTGAAAAAGTATAGTAAAGAGAATCAATTACCTAAATACAGTCTATAGTTTACACGAGTAGTACACATTTAAATAAAACACTTTAACGGTTTAAAACGCGATATATTAGTTAATAAATAATAAAACGAATATATCGCGTTTTAAACCGTTAAAGTGTTTTATTTAAATCAATTACCTAGTTAACGCGTTATACACTTAAACAGACGTACAATATGCGTACATAAAAAAAATGATATATTGTAATTTATACTTTTTCAGATAAGAATAAATAAATACGTATTTATTTATTCTTATCCTTGAAGAGATATTGAACAAATAGAAGGATTGAACAAAACATCTAAAAAAAAGAAAATACATTCCCTGGTCTATATTTTATTCGTAAGATTAACATCTCAAAACTTTATTCTTGCGTTGTCTTATTCTATTCGCATTCCTTTACATGCAAACTCGCAGGTAAATGTTATATGATCATTGTCGTAATGTTTTATATACATCCCTACGAACACGAAACGTAAAACGTATTTCAAAATACCATTTAACGGTAATGTAACGTTAAAATCTATAATTGATCGTATAATTATGGATACATTGCTAACCTTCACAAGCTACCCGTGTAACAATTAAAATTACCTTAAACACGTTTTTTTTTTGAGAAATCCCTTTGATCATTGATGCGTTATTTATGGTGTAAAGGCGAGTCAGGGTTCGTTACAAAGCTTTCTTTTAGAAAAAGACCTAAATTCAAATAAAACATGTTTTACGGTTTAAAGCGTGATCCGTTTGTCCATCTACAAACATCCGCAACGAGCCGTATTTAAAATAATACTTTTGGAGTTTTAAACCGTTAAAAGTGTTTAATTTAAATGCGTACTACTCGCGTAAACCATAGACAGTATTTTAAATAATATGTTTCACGTTTTAAACCGTGAAAAGTGTTTTATTTAAATGTGTACTACTCGCGGAAACTGCAGACAGTATTTAAAATAATACATTTCGCGTTTTAAACCGCTCAAAGTGTTTAATTTAAATGTGTACTGCTCACGTTAACTACAAACAGTATTTAAGACCTGATTTCCTTTAATTAACAGTTTTCTATTTTCAGTATAAAACTCTTGTTGTTTTATGTTTTATTCTACAAAACCTATTATGAAAAATTTCTGTATGTTTGCTATACTCGATAACGATAGATACATTTTGCACAGCATCAGGCTGTCCGTACAAAATTCATCAATATATGAGACCTAAAAAATATGTCTACTGCATAGAATTGGAAACATGTTACACTCATAGTCGTTTTAGATTTAACTAACAGTTTAAATATTTTAAATTAGAAAAATTGTAATAATTGCTTAAGTCTGTGAAGAATTTATAAAATACAAAAACTATTTACTCGACTTAATTAGTCTACAATTAAATGAGTACAGTTGACACATAACAAGCAATTTATACCTTAGCAGTATACTTTTACTGGGTGGATATCGATAACATCGATCAAGGCCGGCTTAAAGTAGAAAGGGAGGCAGACATTTTCAAAAAGTGCATCGTCCTTACGAACTTGACTTTTATCTGTTTCCTGAATTTCTTCTTAAACAGGTCCATCTAGATCTGGAGCATATAAAAAGGCATTGTGAGCTATTCAGGGCATCATATTCTTGGGATTCATTCACGTAGTCACAACCACATCATCAATCCAAAATGGTTGCGAAGGTAAACAAAATAACTTAATTTTATATTTGAGCTTACTTGTTAAATGTAACTTATATCACAATAATACAACGATTATTTATGTTAGTTTTCCATTATAATTCCTAATTTTATTACAGTGCGTTATCCTTTTCGCTTTGTTGGCTGCCGCCAGCGCAACTGACTTTACCAGCTTTTCTTATGGAGTAGCTGACCCCTACACCGGTGACTTCAAGCACCAGTTCGAGACCCGGAACGGAGAAAGGGTACATGGCCAGTACTCCCTTTTGGAATCAGACGGTACCCAGCGGACAGTGGACTACGCTGCTGGTGCTGAGGGCTTCAACGCCCTTGTAAGGAAGGACCCCGCTGTCATCGCTGCTCCCGTTGCCCCAGTCGCCCCTATTGCCCCCATTGCTGCCCCTATCGCTGCCCCTATCGCTGCCCCTCTGGCTTTCCGCTCCTACGCTCCTTACGCTCCATACGCATACGCCCGGTACGGTGCCTACGGATACGCTGCCCCCATTTACTAAACACGTAAAGATCATATGAAAACGAAATTCGAATGTGTTTATTTGTTCAATTGCTATTTGTTTGTACATAATGTAAATAAATTTTAATCTAAACTTGAATATTCTAATTTTATTTGTTCTACTTCTCTATAGTCTATATATGAACTTGAACAAGAATAAAATGAAAAGACAAAGTATACATTGCTCACAATGCTATTGCAGTTTGTGGTTACACAAAATGGTATATCCACAAAGATTAAATACGTTTAACCACGTATTTTACGCGAAAAGGGCTTTTTTATCCCGGTGAAACAATAGTTTCGACCATGCCAGGCGAAATAGTGAAATCGAATACTTTTATATGTGCTTAAATGTAAATTTAGAGTCTTTCTGTGACTTTGATTATAGATATTTGAAACTAAATAGAAATCAATATCGTGATGCAGTTTCCTATACAATATTATTAATATTAATGTCTATACAATATCCGCCGCATGGCCCGACAAGCTATAGTCCACTAAGTTCCGCATAGCAAATTGTGTTTGACTAAATTGAACTCTAAAAAACATTCACTTTCCGTGACCTAGAGTGGCCCTGTCATTATTGTTTCCTATTAATAGCCGAATGATTGTTCAGGACTATATAAAAGCCCTATCGCCCAGGATTGAGCATTCACAGTTCACTGTGCAGCAAAACCACACACTTCACAATGGCAGCTAAGGTTGGTAGCGAACTTATCGGGCTTTCAATGCGGAATAGTATTAACAGTTTAGAATCTTAGTAGTTTACGATATGGATTTAATATATAAGATTCTATACAAGAAGTAATAGAAATATCAATAGTTTACCTATATGTATACAAATATATGAAGTAGTTTTATCTATAAAAAATACTTATTAAAGCGTTATCTTCAACAGTTCATCGTACTCGCGGTTTTAGTAGCTGCTGCTCAAGGCAGCGGAATCCACGGTGCTGACTACACCAGCTTCTCCTACGGAGTAGCAGACCCCCACACCGGTGACGTCAAGAGCCAGCACGAGACCCGCCACGGAGACAATGTGGTCGGCCAATACTCTCTGCTTGAATCTGACGGTACTAGGAGGACAGTCGACTACGCAGCTAATGCCCACACCGGATTCAACGCCATCGTACGCAAAGACCCAGCTCTCGTCGGACATGTTGCCCACGCTGCCCCTCTTGTAGCCGCCCCTGTTGCTCACGCTGCTCCAGTCGTCGCCCATGCCGCACCTTTGGCTTACGCTGCTCACGCTGCACCAGTCGCCGTTGCTGGACCCTCCGTATCCTACTCTGCACACTCTACCTCTGTTAACCACGGAGGCGTAGCTGTTGCTGCCCATGCTGCTCCTCTTGCCTACGCTGCACCCCTTGCCCATGGTGCTTACGCCGCACCCTTGGCTCACGGTGCTCACGCCGCCCCCCCCCTCGCCCATGGTGCTTACGCCGCACCCTTGGCTCACGGTGCTTACGCCGCCCCCCTCGCCCATGGATACGGCGCTCTCGCGCATGGTGCCCACGGACTCGGCTTACATTACTGAACACGAACCTAGAAACTAATTAATCTGTCTGTGTATTTAATTCTTCTGACTATGATGTTATGAATGAAAACGCTGTGATGTGAAATAAATGTGTAAAGATTTATTGTGTACAGAAAGATGTTGTTTGAATAGCTCTACTTCAAAATAGACAAATAATTATATCCATAAATTGAAGCTCTTGAAAACTCTTCACCTGATTGCTTTATAAAAAAAAAAACTATTTCGATCGAAATTAATAATCTGTGGCACGGTCGGGCCTCGAACTCACGATACACGCTCTTGTTTTTGCGACCACAAACTCTTCAACTTTATATATTAGTATAGATTATTATTCAAAGTATGTAAGTGGAATATTCACGATGAGATCTTTCATTCCTTTTCTTATTTCGTGATTATATTTACAATAAAAACTGTCTGTCTTGGACTTACCTACATACAAAAAGTGGTTGTAAGCTCGCTCCGTAATTTTTGAGTAATTAAAAACTAATTAGTGTTTAAGCTTACAGTGGGTTTAAACTAGACATAATGTAGATAAAACACAAAAAGTTTTACTGTACATAAGTATATAAAAAGAACTTGAGTTAATAAAGTAATATATTCCCCCCCTTTGGAACCTTGTACCCGATTTGTTGCATATTCAATAGTTAATATTTAGTCTATATTAATTAATCTATACTAATATTATAAAGACGAAAGGTACGGTAACGGATAAACTCAAAAAGTACTGGACTGATTTTAATAATTCTCTTTTCATTAGAAAATTAGTACTAGATTACTGTAGAGATCTTAAGAAATTTCTATCTAAACCAACGGGAGGTGTAAAAAATTAGCCATAAAAATATATCAATATCAATACAAAAAACATCGCGAGAGCATATGTCTAACTATTGTAGTTATGTCGCTATAACTACTTTTTTACATTTAACAGAATAGAAATGCCGATCAAAATCAGACCGTGTTATCCATACCATTTATAAATTTTTATCCAAATAAATAAATTTTAATATACAAGACTGTCTCAAGAGCTCATGATTACTTTTTTAATTATTGAAATCGGACATTCCATTCAAAAGATATCATGAAATTAAATAACTAATTCGACGATAGAGGGGCAGTGGGCTCCTTATGCAGTGGGCTCGAACGAAATTGAATATTTCGAGTTTTTTTTAAACATTTTTATGCTTCACTTAGAAAGTTCTTTTCAGAGCTACTTTAGTTTTAGTATTAGGAATCACACTTTGAATAATATTTGTCAAAGTTCTTTTCAGAACTATCGCTTTGAACTTGCATATTTTCTTTTGTATTATTATTAGTTAATTCTTAATTTCTCTGATTTAAAATAAATATCCTTCATAGCAATATGCCTAGAAGAAGGTCGCTATCTAAGAATAGTTTCCAAGCGAGATTAGCAAAAGTTCGCCGTATTGGAGAGTCTTCTTCCTAACATGATCGTCTGGAAAGTATTAGAGTTTATGCGTCCCAATCGCGAGCCAGAGAATCTATCGTCGAATGTTCAGGTTCGTCTCGCAGAACAAAATGCAAGATCGTCGCAGCGACTTGAAGGAGCTAGCAATTCGCGAACGCGTGCACGGGACTCTAACACTGAACGCTAGTAGCGGCTCCCGACACAGCGAGATAGGCAACGGTCGTTAACAGCTAGGATGCGCAATACATTTTTTTCAAATTTAGTGATTCATGGTCGTTTTAATTAGCATGCTTATAATTTAAATATCTGTACCTATTTATGTCTACCAGTGCGAAGCCGGGACAGGGCCGATAGTTTAATATAATCTCAAAAATCTATAGCGTAGAAAAGATATTTAAAACATCGTTTGATTTGAGATTACTTTAGCAGAGTCTAAGAAATCAAACATGTTGTTAATAATTATCTTGTTAATTTTATTTTCTATTAAATCACAGGTATTTGTCATATCACACATTTCACCAACCAAGACGGGCGTGGCCGAGTCCATGGGAGCCGTAGCCGTAAGATCCGTAGGAGATAGCTCCGTGGGCAAGAGGGGCGGCAGCGTATGAGTTGTAGGCGACAGCGGGAGCAGCGTACGCGTTGTACGCAAGGGGCGAAGCGGGAGCGGCGTATGCGGAGTAAGCTGGAGCAGCGTATGCGACGCGAGCATGAGCTCCGTAGGCAACGGGAGATGCAGCGTATGCAGCGACTGGGGCGGCCACGACAGCTGGAGCGTGAGCCACAAGAGCTGGGTCCTTGCGTACGACAGCGTTGAAACCGTTGTGGGCGTCAGCAGCGTAGTCTACCGTCCGCCGGGTGCCGTCGGATTCCAAAAGAGAGTATTGACCCACCACACTGTCTCCATGCCGGGTCTCCTGTTGGCTCTTAACGTCACCTGTGTGTGGGTCTGCCACTCCATAGGAGAAGCTAGAGTATCCAGCTCCATGTATGGCGCTGCATTGAGCAACAGCCACGAACAAAGCGAAAATTGCGATCTGAAAAATAAAATACTTTTATTTATTGATATTTTTTTCTAATACTACAGTAATTTATGCGGGTAGTAACCCCATTTAAAGAATACACTTTAACGGTTTAAAAAGCGAAATATATTAGTTAAAATTATTTTTAACACATTAAATATATTACTACGACCCGATGCCTTGCAGCTTTTTTGTGTAAAATTAAAATAAAATTTATAAGACTACCTTTGAAAACATATTGTTTGCTGTCTACCAAATAACTGATGAATTTTATTTTTGCTCGCGACCTTTTATAGCGATAATTTTTATCAAGCACATATCATGCGCAATCACATTTGAGTAGGAACTTGTGAAAGAGCGTTAACAGTGACCTAGGCTCACACGGGCATTCCGTTCCTTTTGTTTAATTAAACAATATAATTTTTAAACGACTGTTTAGCATGCGCAACTTAAAAGAAATTTAGAGGTGTAGAAACGTAACTAAATCTTTTAAAACAATTTGACGCGTAATGTATAAGTGACCCTTGAAATCAACATAAAACATGCGAATCGAATATCATCATTCATAAAATTCCTCAGATACTAGGAAAAAAAACTTTTATGTAATCATGAATAAATAATTATTTCTTTGTTTTGATTGTTTTAATTCGCACGTTTAATTGTTGAGCTTACGAGACGGTTACATATAAGATATACATATATCTTTTATTTAAGTATAGTCACGACTTCCTTTTTTTAGAAAATTTTGCCAATAACGTCACTTATTATTATCTTATATATCCTAGTGACTAGCAAAAGTCGTAAGTTAAAATTATAATCATCAATATATTTAAGTAAGCACAATTTATCCCATTATTATTTCAAAAATCTTACACGAAACAACAGACTTAAAAGCTATATAAAGGTAATTTATTTTATTATTTACAAGTTGTGCAAAAACATTTTTATTTGTCCTAAACAGTTTATTCATTCTGGTCCCCAGTCATTTAATGGATTTTGTAAGTTTTATGAGAAGTGTAAAAGACCTTCACTAAACTAGTAAATCATAATTATTTTTAATCGCAACGGTTTTAGCATTCAAAATAACAAATTCATTACATATGCGGTGTGGAAAGTAAAATTATTACGTACGAACTTCCTGCTCGGTTCCCAAATTAAAGCCTTCGCCTTAATATAAATAGTAATCGCAAACTATGTTTATTCAGTTGAAGTCAGAAGTCGAGCAAAATACACGTACAATGGCCTCTAAGGTAAAATTATTATATACCAAATTACATATTCACGACCTTTGTTTTATTTATTGCAACAAAGTTTTATTGTACCCAGAGTAATGTGCTCTGAATAAGGTACTTGAGACTTCGTAATTAAAACCTTTTTTCTTCTTCCATCGTCATTCTACTTGCAGCTTTAATCCTATTTTAACCCAAGCTAATAAAAATTATTGCTTACCATAGCACACTTTATATCAGAATAATTTGATCTTATATTATACATAGCAAATGAATATTCATAATTTTTTCAGTTTGTCGTCCTCGCTTTGTTGGTGGCTGCCGTGCAAGGCAGCGGTATCCACGGTGCTGACTACACCAGCTTCTCCTACGGAGTATCAGACCCACACACCGGTGATGTCAAGAGCCAGCACGAGACCCGGCATGGAGACAACGTTGTCGGCCAATACTCTTTGCTTGAGTCTGACGGCACCCGGCGGACGGTAGACTACGCTGCTGACGCCCACAACGGTTTCAACGCTGTTGTACGCAAGGACCCAGCTCTTGTGGCTCACGCTCCAGCTGTCGTGGCCGCCCCAGTCGCTGCATACGCTGCATCTCCCGTTGCCTACGGAGCTCATGCTCGCGTCGCATACGCTGCTCCAGCTTACTCCGCATACGCCGCTCCCGCTTACGCCGCGCACGCCGCTCCCCTTGCGTACAACGCGTACGCTGCTCCCGCCGTCGCCTACAACTCATACGCTGCCGCCCCTCTTGCCCACGGAGCTATCTCCTACGGATCTTACGGCTACGGCTCCCATGGACTCGGCCACGCCCGTCTTGCTTGGTAATTAACGTATCTGAACTGTGATTTTAAATAGATACATGTTTGAATGTTTCTCTAGGATGTTGTGCCCGTTTTGTAAATAGAAGATTAATAAATTAATAAATGAATTTCATATATAGTAACCACTGACTTTCGTTAACAACAATTATTATTATACTCGTAATAGTCTATTGATAGATATTTGCTGACCGTAATCTTTAGTAATATAGTTCAATTTGTATGAGGTAAAACAAAAAATAAGTATTTAATACTTTAATAAATCAATGTTTGTAATAAGTACAGACACAATCCACTCGATTTGATTTTGTCACTTCCTGTTTGGCCAGTTCGGGGCAAGTCATATTGATTGGACTTTTGCATTTGTCCTTCAGTACTAATACATCCTACAAAAATATAACTAACAACGAAATTGACACACCGACACATTGAATATTATGGGAGGGATAAAAAAACTTCAAGTAAGCTTTAGTTTAGTTCAAAGATTATCTTACGAATAATAGATAGGTTATGCAGTCAAGAACGACTTCAAAATCTTGTTTTGCTAGTATTTTCATTATATTTACGTAAACCAGTAAATGCAAACAGCTATATAAAATATATTTTTCTGTACTCAGTTGGGTTTTCGGACTATAGGTATCTATGCCGAAAATATGCAGTTACTACTGACCTTTAATTTACTAAAAACAAAAAAAACATTTATTATTGGGAAAATTACCAAATATAAGAAAATATATTTTTAAATCAAATCACAGAGCCTGGCAGAATTTTCAACGTTGTGGATGTATACCTCCCTCAAACTAAATATATTATGCCACTAAGCGACATTCGTTCCACATCAACAGCCCGAAAGTTGTATTTGTTGTGTTGTAATGTATATATTTTAATTTTATGTAATTGCATACTTATAAAGGTCGTGTTATTTTTTTAAATGCTATTGTGTATAGAAACAATATTTTGTTACGCTATATTTTATAGTTTAAGAAAGGCATTAAAATAAGAAAGTTAAATGTATTTACCTTATATATAACTTGGTATTAACTTAAAAATCTCGTGTTTTTAACCTATTTACATCGTTTAAGTTATATTTAAAATTATAATATACATTACATGTAATCTTTTATATAGAATTATTAAATAAATAATAATAGACATTATTTTTAATAATTCTCAAATACAATTTAAATACATATTAATAATTATAACAATCGTCTATTACTATTAATAAAAGATGTTTAATTTTATTATACAATTAATTGCATACCAATAGTTTCCGGTCGACAACATAACATCTCATAGCGAGATTATAAGTTGACATATATACTTCCTCAAATATATACTTGAAATTCAAATTATGCTAAGAACACACAAGCGGCAAGACGCTTGGGTTAATCGTTCAGACAAAATTATGTTTACTGTTTCGTACTGAGATTGAATACACTTACACATACACAAAAAAGTAAGAATTCTTGTAAACCTAATTAATTATGGCCTAAAATAAAAAGACTTTTTACTGTATTCAGACGTGTCACAGTCTCCCTTTAAGAATAAATGACTTTGTTTTGAAAATATTTTAATAATTAATAGTTGATTAAAAATTTAATATGGGCCCTAGTGTGAACGTAGCATAATCTAAACTTGTTGACCTCGCTGTGACACTTTATCGAGACGTCTTTCTTCGATGTTTTGTTGCCTACTGATATACCACAATTTTATGTAACATCTTTCCAACTGAAATTAAATAATACTCCCCTTTCTTCTGTCTGGCAGACGCATGTGTGTCTCATTCACTTTCTTATTTTCAGTGAAGTAACAGATCGAAGCTTCTATTCGAGAAAAGAATTTATTTGTTATCGAGGATTAAAGTAACCTAGGGGTCTCACGTTGAACACTAATGCTGAATTATAAATATACTCTAGCTAAATTAGACGTGTTGCGTTAAACGCAAAAAGCCAAGTTTTAAATTCCAGGGTAACAATAGATTGTTTCAGTCAGTTAAAAGAAGATCAGTAAAACGGACACAGAAATGCGTTTGCCCTTAGCCCGCAGGGGGGGGGGATTTCATTTAGTTGCATATAATGTGCTATCAGGCACTAATATAAGTATTTTAAGTCTTAACGCGTATCCAATATCAATTATTTAATAAGAAAGGGGTTCAGATGTGTTTTATACTAGAAAAGTGACAACATAAACCGCATCATGTATCTATGTTTATGTAGTATAATTTCTTAAACTGAACATAATATTTACATCATAATAGATCCGAATTCTAACGCCGATTCCGAGTCTGGACGCAAAATGTACGTGCGCTGGTAACAAATATGTTGTAGACAAAAAAATCCATATTCCTAATATAGCGACTTGTACAACATTGGTATTACGACTTTATATTTACAATGGTGAATACTTTTCAGTTTCCTCGTTTTACGCGAACTATTGCAACACATACAATTTTGTTTTACACTGTTTTTTTCAGGCTGTACATAAGTCAATTTTTAAAGCCTAAACAATCTCGATCAAAATTTTAATTAACGACGTATCAAACGACCTGTTCTAATGACGTTGAAATTAAATACATTATACATGGCGAAATTTGAAAATTATTGAGTCTTATGATAAACAAATGATTAGAAAAAAGTGTGTTCTTAACGTCGTCATTGGGTTGATCGATTAGTTACTTGACTCATTGATCTAATAGTAGCAATGTAAGGCTAAATCAACGTGTCGATCACCGGGTTAAATTTGTACATTTTCTAAAGCATACTGAATTTTGGGTGGAAATATTGATAATAAATGGGCGATAGAAATCGTATTTCCGCCCGAGTCACGAACACTGTTCTTAAATGAAAATGTTTCTTTCTGTAGAATTCCACAGAATATCCAAAATCCAGAATAGGACAACAGTAGATCTTGTTGAGATGTTATTTAGCTGGTCTTTCCATCAATTAAACCCCATTTCTGTTTGTCTTCCTCTTTCATAAAAAAACATATACTTCGAAAACCTTTCGGTTTAAAACGTAAAATTTACACGCGAAACGTCAGATCGTAGTTGAAATTAAAGTAAAAATAAGTTAACTAATATATTTCGCATTTTAAACTTTTAAAAGTGTTTTATTTCAATGTGAACCACTCGCGTAAACTAGAAGAATTCACAAATAAAACCTTACTTTTGCGCAGATGTGAAATAATTTGATTAACGCTTAACAATTTTTTAATTAAACGCATCTACGAGACAAAAACTCGACTCCTTACTGGCATCAATCAATTAAAAAATATATAATGGGACATTGCAGGTTTGAAAATTTCATTATACTCACCGTATACAAACAAAAACTAGGTCCCACAGCTTAAAAGCACGCTGCAACAAGCATCAATCATCGATGAATGCAATGAAAGGCATTTTTATTGATACAAATTATTCATTTCTTTGTACTTTCCAGATCAGGCGGCCTTGCGTTTCCGGATACATCGAGCATTATCATGTACATGTGGTTGAAAATATCAAAAGACCACGCATTACCACGCCCGCCAGCACTCCATATAAAAGCTCCCGGCTAGGTTCATCAGTATTCACTTGACAAGATTCACTTGAACAAGCAGCAATGGCAGCCAAGGTTCGAATTCACTTGAATATTTAATAGACTACATAGTACAACCAGTTTCAATAATTGTAGCTGTGATCTGAGCGACGCTTAAGTACTTATTTGTTACAGATTGTAGTTCTTGCCGCTCTGGTGGCTCTGGCCCACGCCTCAGTAGTACCTGTAGCGCAAGTAGACAACGATTACACCAGCTTCGCTTACGATGTGGCAGATCCCTACACCGGTGACTTCAAGAGCCAAGTGGAGACCAGGTCCGGTGGTGTAGTCCAGGGACAATACTCACTACTCGATGCTGATGGCACCAAACGCACTGTAGACTACAGCGCTGACGACGTCAACGGTTTCAACGCTGTTGTGCGCAAGGACCCAGCTGTCATTACCCAGTCTGTGGCCGCTGCTCCAGTGGTTGCATCCGCTGTTGCCGCTGCACCAGCTGTTGTCGCCCCCGCTGTTGTCGCTGCCCGGACAGTTGCCGCTCCAGTTGTTGCATCTGCCCCAGCGGTTGTTGCATCTGCACCAGCTGTCGTCGCATCTGCCCCTGCTGTTGTTGCTAAAACAGTTGCCCCAGCTTACTACGCCGCTGCAGCTCCATCTTTGGTAGCAACTAGCTCATTCGCTCCAACAGTCTACGCCTCTGCTCCCGGATTCGCAAACACTTACTCCTACGCCGCCTCTGCCCCCGTTGTAGCTCGTGCCTATGCTGCCCCCGCCTTCACCAATGCTTACACAACCCCATACCTTGCCCGTTCTTATGCTGCCCCAGCTGTATACTCAGGTCATTCATACCTGGCTCCCCCAGCGTACGCTCGTTACGCTTCCCCATACTACTCTACCTACTGGTAAAGTAGCTTGATGAAACCAAAACTGTGTCCGACTTGTTATATTGTGTAAATAGGTATTTTGTACATATCGATATAAAATATACGATCTATAAAACGTAGTTAATACCTTTTATTTCAACTTCCTTTAGGTACGTTAACAATTAGAAGTGATATTGCATTTTAAAATATTCATTAATGGGTGTATGTCATTTTATCAAAAAATAAATAAATGACAATTTTATCTTCCTATGTGAATAATTCTTAGGCTTAAAATTATAGAAACAACAATATATTTTTTTATATAAAATTTTACCACTTATCTATATAGTCTTTTTAAAATTTTTTTTTTTTTTTAATAAAATGAGTAAATAAGTGACATACATAACTTGTTCTGCTTTATTTAAATCCAACTGGTTATACAATTAAAAGCGAAACAGATTTACTTTTTACTTAAACCTGCTTAGTATTAAAACTTCTCAATTGGACTGTATTTACAAAAAGATAAAAAATTTGCATATATATTACATTAATCTTGAAACTAAAGTTAAAAAACATTCATATATAAATAAAAACAAGTATTTTAATAATACGCAGTGTTCATTTTTTTATACAATAAGCTAAGTGTAAAACCTATTTTGAGACACATTTTATATACATACTTAAAAGATATTTGATTTATTTATTATTTATAATACACACAGCAGAAAAGAAACAATATGAATGAGGAAAAATCTTACGTACTAAATTAAAAATAAAAGGCGGCCTTATCGCTAAGTTTCTATCTCTTCTACTTAGTGAAAAGGACTTAGTGGATACTTAAATATATATATACAATGGTGACTATAGTCTTACATTCTCTCAATCCAAGAAGTTGCGTAAACACTAGAGACAAATCAAACTGGGCAGTGTAAATGGCAACTGGCTGATATTTAAAAAGGACAACTGGAACTAGTTATTAATGTAAATGATTCATTTAATCATTTCCTAAGGCCTTCGCAGTTTCCTTCGGCACCTTTGAATTATCCTGCCCGCGTATACAATGTAAACTTCTACTAGTACGATAGGAATATGGCAGGTACACGTTTGTGTTTGTTCAAAACATAGTCAGATATAAAAAATAATAATCTATACTAATATATAAAGCTTGTTTGTTTGTCTGTTTGTATAATGCCGTCTTCGCAATATCAAGTGAAAAGTAATAAAGTCGTTAAGAAAAACAGACACGTACTGTGTCTGTCTATACAAGTATCTGATTAAACTTTTACCCGACAGAAAACCACTTTAAAAACATACTTAGTATTGTATAAACTTATTATAGCTGTAGTTTTATCCTTATTATTATCACATATTATTCTAAATCTCGGTTTTCAAGGTTGCCTGGAAGAAATCGCTTTTTAGCGATAAGGCCGACTTTTCTCGCTACATTTTGTTTTTTTTAAATTCAGTTCTATTTTGTAACATTATGGTGAAAATATAGTATTTTTTGTTTGTTTGTTTTGTAAAACCACTGTTTCACCGCTATTCGAACCTAGAGCGCTTAACACAATCTTAGGCAGTAAGTTTAAGTGTATAAGGCATGGTTTTATACTTTAAAGTTTCCAAATATTTTCAAAGTACATATATATATGTATGTTAGGTAAGTATGTATGAAGTGATCTTTATAGAAATGTGTGTTTTATTATTCAAATATTTCGTTCGGTTCACGGTTTCAAAGAAAAAATACATACTGCTTTATTACACATATCTAACAAGTAATTAATAGTACATGCTGATATCATAGTGAATCACAAAATAACTTTTATCTTACTGTGGGCACAGTCGAAGTAAAAACTAGTTAATATTAGTTTAATGTCAATTAAAAATGAAACGTTTAATGTGGGCGTTACTTATAGATAAAGAGCAATTAAAACTAGTTTTTTTTTATGGTAATAAATCATTGCTGTTTAGATTAGCTCAGATGATTTTAATGTTTAAATATGAAGTATGCGGTGGTATTGTTTGATTATTATTATTTTAAATAGGAAAGTTTGTTAGGATGAAGTGGTGGAAGGTTTTTTCTAAGTATGTTTTTTATGATACAGGAGGACATAGAAGCAAGTTTCACTTGATTATAGATAAGTTACCTCAGCCATATCACATCTAAACAAGATGCGCTATCGACCTATTTTGGCTTTAAATAGTTGAAAATCCACAGCCTGAAACCGAAACGCGATTGAACTTGACGACCTTTTCATCTGTGGGCTGCGAGTTGTGACCCGGATGGAATTTACGTTATATTATTATATATTATGTTTCAGAAAAATTTTGAACCCAGTGGGGATCGAACCCATATACCTACCCATTTGATTATAGCCATACACTGCTACAATTCCATCAATAAGCCCATCTTTACACTCTTACAACTGGATTAATTTTGATAAAATTGTGTGTGACTGACGCTACATTAAGATAAGCAAGATATTTTATGTAAAATTTACATTTTCTGTATTTTTTAATTATATAACAACAATAGTATGCAAAAACGGATGTGAGGATATTACTTAGATGGTTTTAGCCGTCAGCCTCCAACGTGGAGCTACCGCAAAGGACTTCAAGGTCCCAAATAATGTCTCGTCTCACTTTGAACTAATAAATCGAAGTAATTACATTGATTATTCAATATTTATGATAATGGTTTCTTTATGGGTACTTTATTTTCCAAATTGTCGGCCTTGTGTTTCCGGATTTTAATGGGCATTAGTTCAATTTTTTAAAGATCAACCACGTGTGACGACATATCCTAGACTTGTATAAAAGCTATCGAAATAATGAATTTGGCATCAGTCAACCAGACCTAAGCATTCCAAACCATGGCCGCTAAGGTAAGACGAAGTCAATGGAAAAATTTATAATTTAATTGAGTTTATAGAGCAGTACATTATTTTAAATTATTTAATTATCCTCTAATTCTTGAATAATATTACAACAAAATTTGAGTCTTTAATTCCTTTTACGACACTATTAAAATAATGTTTAAAAAACTAACGCTATACAGAGCTACTATTATATCGACGAGTTTTTGAAGCACAAACAATTTGGAAATTTACAGCAGCTTGTTAAATTATTACAATCTGTTAGGGAAGGCTTTACAATAATTTCAACAATATTATATGTTAATGTACTTAATTAGACTATAATACTTTTTTAATTCATCAACGTAGTCAATGATATAATATTTTTTCAGTTCGTTGTATTCCTCTTCGCCGTCGCTGTAGCTCAAGCTTCAGTTGTCTCAGTCGACAACGAAGCTACCAGCTTCGAATATGGTGTCGCCGACCCCCTTACCGGTGACTACAAGAGCCAGAGCGAATCCCGCGTCGGCGGAACAGTCCGTGGTCAATACTCCCTGATCGAACCCGACGGCACCAAGCGCGTCGTGGACTACACCGCTGATGACGTCAACGGATTCAACGCCGTTGTGCGCAAGGACCCAGTCAACTCCGCTGTTGTCGCTCCCGCCGTTGCTCCCGTTGTTGCCCCCGTCGTCGCCCGCTCCTACGTCGCCCCAGTAGTTCCCAAAGTTGTTGCCCCAGTCACTTACGCCCGCACTTACGCCCCAGGTGTCGTCTCCAACGTTGTCGCCGGATCAGTCGCTCCCGTTTACGCTTCCGCTGTCCCCTATGTTGCCCGCAGCTACCCCTCCGTCTACGGCAATGTTGTAGCCCCAAATGTCTACTCTCAATCCTACTACAACCCTTACAACGCTGTCCCCGTCAACTACTACTAATAACTTAGAGGCATATGTGTAAATATTGTACAGTTTTGAGTCTATGCTTTAATAAAGTTGAATTTCAATATATTTTTGTATCATTCATACTGTTTGCACCCTTATATTATCCACGTTGAACTGTGCCAAAATTAGTTATATCGTGTATTACTGTCGAATTGGAGTATATCTGTAATGGCAGCATATATGTGTGTGTGTTGTTTAGTTAAGGTTGGGTAGGGGAGGGCAAAGTACTAAAAAAACGTGAAATATTTGTTTGAATACGCAAGGAGATGAGGGCTAGTAACTTAAGAATACCCAGATAGGATATGTCACTATCGAGCAATTCGTATGGTAAACGCATCTCGTAGGCTGGTAATAAGCACGAAAGAAATGTCACTGGCCCGGATTATTTATTATAGACGTCGTAGGGTATCGACACGACATTCATCTGTTTCCTTATCAGTTTTGACAATATTATAATAATTGTATATGTTAACAGCGGAAATGGGATTTCACCTAATATCTTAATTATTTCAAATACTTGATAGATTAAGGTAAGTTGGTAAACACAAATTTGCAATTTTGGAGGACATTTCTACCTAACGTGAATAAACAAGTCTTAGCAAAAAAGTCCATTAGTGACTTTATTCACGTGATATGCGTAAAAGGACTTTGCCGAAATTTGGAAGCAGTTAAGATTAACGATAAACCTTTGAGTCAAAGTCGTGTGCCATAGGCCACTGTAACTTTGGCGAAGAAATTTTATCTGCCTGCCTGCATAATATAATATGATTTATAGCGCACAGTTTTAGAAAATATAATCTTAATAAATCTAGTAACAGACTATTATTTAAGAAAAGATCATACAATTCAAACACTAGTTACTTCGTTCATGTTGCCCCATTCTCTTGTCTAAATTCAAATATATTAGTGTACTTACTTAACAAACGACCTGATGCTTCATATGTGAAGCTTATTAAAAAAAATATATGTATGATTAACAATCATCGGGTCGTGGATTCTATTCTGAAAATAACAATTCAATTCATAGGGTAGTAGGAAATTTAACGCCGTCTGTGTCACGAACGTTCACAGATGCAAAAGCCATGAAGCGTTTCGGTTTTAGTCCATAGATTGAAGAAAGTCCTTTCAGACTGTATAATGACTGGTATTTAAACATCCATCGAGTGAACTCCGTTGCTTAGAGGTCCTAGATTGTCCTAGCTCATTATATATGCCAAAATATCATTTAGGCACTCTCTATATGTTCAGATCAAACGGTACCAATTACTGGCTGAAATTAATACATATATAGGTTATACAATTTCCGTAATAATAAGTAGAATTGTTCCTATGTAAGCTCTATGGCAAACATTATTTCATTTGGCATAGTGACTCACGCAAATGAACAGCCCACATAAGTTACATACTCGCTATTTCTAAAGCAATAATACAGTAAAGTTTGTTTGATTAAACGCTGGTATACATTTTTAAACCAGTTACAAAATTACTAAGTAAGGTATATATTACACTAGCTGCGTCAGCGACTTCGTCCGCGTAGAATACTTTGGGCGTACATATGTGTTTTTGCAAACCTCCTCTTTCTCGTTATAAGTTAAACTTTTACCCGTCGCGTCCCCTTGCTTTTGCAAGTTATTCTTACAATAAAGACATGTAGTTCCGCGGACATTTTATTAGATTAATTAAAGAAGATACTTTTTTAAACATATTCTTTTGGGTATATTGAGCCGTTGTCATGGTGTACGCATCGGAAACTTACAAAGATAATTAATTGTCCCAGTTATATTTCCCGCCGGTTCTTCGCTCCTATTAGTCTCAGTGCGATTGTTTGTTGATAGATACCTTATATATTTATTGAAATAAAACACTTTAACGGTTTAAAACGCGGTATATTAGTTAAACTTATTTGATAATAATTTTTAACTTCGGCCCGACGTTTCGGATGCTTTGCAGCAGCAGTGGTGGTCATGGGGAGACACCGTTTGTCTCCCCGTCACCACGGCCGTACGGTAAACCGTTAAAGTGTTTTATTTAAATGTGTACTACTCGCGTAAACTATAGACAGTACTTATATATTTCAAACATATCAAAATGCAAACAGAACATTGTAAAAAAATTACCATTGTTTTCTGACTGTAAACCGAAATATAGAAGAACTACCTACCATGATGCCTATATGATAATATCAAAATTATATATACACTTTACTTGATTATTTAATTATACGCCTCTGAAAATAGTTTAGTCTAAATCACATTAGACACAATTGAGCATAAATTTTGTGCGAAGGCTGTGGCGATGCGCGAGAAATAAAACGCCTCACACATTATTTTAGCAACATTTTATTAAGAATTCCACAGTGGAACAATTAATATCATTTATAATATTATAATATCTATACCTAATCAGATTGTAGGTACAAGTAGTGGATTACAACGGCATTTCATTAATATTAGTACATAGTTACAATAAGTGCGATTTATGGACTATCATACCTGTATTTAAGTCCGTAACATATATAACATAAAATAATAGATATACGTGCTAATTTTATAGTGTAAGAAAAAGTAAGTTCCGTTAGTATTCACTTTATAATAGTTACTATGAACTATGGCATTGGGAATTTTAAGACAAGCACGTATATCCCTGTTGTAACTAAAAACTCCAGTATAAAATGGCAACACACCGACGAAGTCTCATGGTAAAATAATCAGTAAAAACACTATATTAGTGTTACATATTGCACTCTAAAACCATAACTTACATCCCAAACAGGTAGCAAACTTAACCGTTAGCCTACTACATTGTTCTAACGAAAATAATCGCAAAAAAGTTACCACACTAAAAAATTCGCTAGAACATTAAATTATTATTATTTAATTAATTCACTAAGACGCGCGTCTTCAAAGAGGAATAAATTCGTATGAGCCGAGAAATTTCAATTTCACTGGCTGATTTTGAAGAGCACGCGACCAAGGAGTAGATAGGTAACACTTTATCTCGTAACAAATTGCCTTTTCCATATTACAGCGTCTAGTTCTAACAAAGACTTTTAACTCTTTTGTTTTCTCCTCACACGAAATTCAAAGCAATTGTCTTTAAACACTATAAAATGTTCAGTTAAAATATTACTTATCTACGCCAATAAATCCTTAGCGTTGCATGGTCATACCGTATGCCAATTATTTGTACATATATGTATAAGAATATGTACATCAACCCGCTGCACGACCGCCGCCTAACCCTATCATATAGTACAAAAATGAAATCCAACTAATAAAATACTTATGTATAATCACATGTAGTGCTATTCTTATTGTTAAGGATTTTTCATATAAAAAAGTCGCTTGAAAAAATCACAGACAATCACCTTCCATTACACACGATACCGACCGATAACTCCTCACTAAGCATTAAGTACAAAACCTTAGTTTTACAACCGCGTTGGTTTATACAATTTTATTCTATCCTCTACGCCGTAGTACCCTAGTACCTCTGTATACCCTTTCTCCTCGACAACGAACCAAATTAAATAAAAAGACCCTCGCGAGCCGTACATATTGACCTAACGGAACAAATTGAAATCGTATACTCGCTATGAGTGACTATAAAGGAAATTAATTTTCGAGAAATTGTATTTTTCAAATTCTCACCACCACTGCGGGCTGCCGTACGTACTAAAGAAAACGTAAAACTTTGTACTCACTTCAATAAACTTTACAACGCTACGTTAAATAATTTCACGGATGCTCCAAAAAATATTATTTGGCAACACTTACATAAAATCAGATAGTTTATCCGACATTTTTATTACATATTTTGTACTGACATTATTTTAAGACTTGAATTTGTACTTTAGTTCTTGAGATATAACCGTGCTCGATTTTTTTTTATTTTTCGTAATTACTTTTTAAATTTTTGTGGAGTTTTCTCGCTCACACTTAACACCAAGACCATGAATTAACACCGAAACACCTTGAAACATAAAGGTGTACATTTAAGTATATTATTTAGGCTATACAATAATGACGTTTTATTTACAGGAGTGAAAACGATGTGTAAGATAAAAAATGGCTGATGATAAATACAAACAAAACTGCAATACTCAAGTGTAACCACCGATTCTGAATAGAATAGCGAAGTTTACATTCCAATAACATTTTTTTTTAATCTCTGAACTTTATATTCTAATATATAAGCAATTCCATCATTTACTTTGATTAAAATTTCAACGGTTTTTTGGGGCTTAATGAATCTGAAGCAATGTAGTTTATTCGTAGTGGATTACCACTACCACGATAGAGTTAAATGTTCACACCAAATTCTTAATACAGTAGAACGAACATCCTTCGTAAAATTCGATATCCGTCACACCAAATCGCGACTACAATAAGTGCAATTCAAAAGATTAAATCCCAAATTATCAGATAACACCTGCAAACGTGACTGTCGATACCTTAAATAATTAATCTAAAATTACAATAAACATTAAACACGATGGACGGGTGTAACTTGATGAGAAAAAAGGGAAAAACAAAAGGAAGAAAATAAACAAAAATAAAATAAATTTTGTTACAATTTTAATTCGCAGAAACCTAACAAACAATATTTGAATTCTCATTTCCTTAAAACATAGTAACATCTATGCAAAACAAGAAGTAACTTGGGAAAAAATTAATAAAAATTATGAAAAATAAAAGTTTATACTCCTAAGAGTGAAGTGGGTACATTTAGAATACGCTGACATCTCGGGGCCGATCTCTTGAATATTGCGTTAAAATGAGGTAGAACATTGATGAGATTATAATAACTAGCCTAAGTAACACTTAAAGTAACATTGTAGGACTATCAACTCAGCTCCAGTGATGTTCTTTGTATAATAAAATTGTCTTGAGCACAACGCTGAGTCGAGAGCGCGGGCTACCAATCAGAGATTCATCAAGCAAACTACATCCCGGCCGAGAGTGGAACACTCCCAACCTCCTTGGAATCCATCCCACTGTCGGTAAACGCTATCCAGCTACCATGAAAATCTGTTTAACAATTAAGTTTTTGTTATTACCTAATACTTCTGCTAAGCTTCAAGTGACTTTGAACCCTGAGGTAGTAATATTTGTACTTTTTTTAATACACTTACGCTACATAATTTTCTTCATATAAAAATGTATAAGCTTACTTATAATTACTTTAATCCTCGAGGTAGATAAACTTAAGAACTAATTTGAATTGTGCTGTGATGAATATTTCGGAGCGTTTTTGAAGTACTTGCGTATTGCTGGAAAACTGGAAGTACCACCACAACACAACTCATGTGACGGCAGAGGGTCACCATACCCGTAACAATCTTTGGCTTTACCATCACGACATATCGCGATTTATGTACATCTAAAACTATCTTAAACCTAAATCCTTAATGAACCCAATATGGAAAAAAGTTTAAGCAAATAAATGCAGTTTTGAGCCAGACTAAACTATTGCACGAAAATAATACAGCATGTACAGCGATAGATTTTAAATGTAACACCTTTCAAATTAAGAACATTATGTTTAATTGTACCAAACTGTTTTTGCTCAAACTTCAATACCAAGCTTAAGTCAATAATCAACAAAACCTCAACACGAATTGTCATACGATTTTCTAATTTTTTTTTTCGCAACAAAATGAGAGATCGGCCCGAGTGGAGGAGGTCATACAACGACTTATTTGAAACCTTATCACATCCATTACAACATTACATCTATCGTGGACGAAATGTCTCACACACTAGATATAACAATGAGAAAACTTATTTAATGTGAACTATCCAATTAGTATACCGAATTTTGTACACAAAACAACTTGAAATTAAATTGTATCTTGGAAATTGACGAATGATATCGTGATCTTAGTTTTGTACTTAATATTAAGTCAGCGATATTCACGTTCTCTATCTCGCTATTAATAACAAAATAAAAAGAAAATGTGATGCATTAATGCAATTCTCTTTTACATATCACAAAAACATTAAATGTCAAAAGAAATCACATCTATGAATTTTTAATTCATAAAAACAAATAGTTAATAAAAACAGAATAAGTAATTAATAGGTACATCTACGTAATATTTCTCAAATATAATAAAATAAATTTAACAATTTAAGATTGGTATAGAAAACTTGTCTTAACAATACTACACTTAACGCAAATGCGCGGTACAAGCATGTACTTTATTACAAATTAATGAACAAAAAAGGTCAAACTAATTCCCCACTTAACCCCAACTAGACAAGAGACTTACGCTTTGCACGAATTTATAGTTTTTGAATCTTATCACTTCTACTGCATATTATGGCATATTCTTAATAGTTGTCCACAAATAATTTAGAAGACAATTCTAACTCAAAGATTTTGCACGTCAAAGAACCTGCGATTTTTTTTTCAAAACACTCAGCCCGTTCCGATGTCCACGCCTACTTAAAGTTTAAGGCTTCCAACGCACTATTACCAAAAATTAGGCCACAATCAAAATATATGTGTTAATTTAAATCTGTTTAACGGTTTCTTTCTTTCAATTCCAATCCACAATAGGAAAACGATTCGACCGAGGAACGATAAAGAGAAAATTATATACTCGTTCTATATATATGGTAAAAGTCTATAAAATACAAGATCAATTAAAAACTATTGAAGTATAAATATCTTTAAAACACCTACTAATTTGTAAAATAGCTTCTTTACGTTTTACAGGAGATAATCAAAGGTACAAGAAGTTAAATCTTTGTTTGTACAGAACTATTCGAAAATATTACTCTTAACATTTAGAGGACATTTATATGAAATCCTTATATTATATACTGTACTAACAGGATGTGATTACTTGTAAATAGAGGCTAAATTACGTTAATGGAGTCGAGGTAAACGTTTAGACAGTATCTACATGGTAAACTGAAAATATATTAAAATCACCGAGCCTTCGTAAGCATTATCGATAAAATATCTATTGTAACCTAAAATATAAATATAATAAATATGAATGCAACTCATTCCTAAATATCAGGAAAAGCACACAGTCGCTACATTCACACTAACAAGAGATATAATAAATAAATGTGAAGAGGATATTTGGCACTGTCCCTTTACAAAATTGCTTCGTAAGAATGAGGATAAAATTGTTCTCGGGGACCGACGTCGCCTACTCAATTATTATACAATTACAACATCGGTCACCCTACATAAAATATTTAAATCTCAACTGGTTGCACGCGAAATGACTAGCTATACAAATTAAGTGGCCTTCTAAATGCACTACAACATTAAACGGAATGTTAAAATCGACACCATCGCGACAAAACATATAATATTCGGTCTCAATAGTAACACCCGTACAGGCGAGGGAACGAACAAACAGACATTCACGCCTCAGACTTACATGCAACAAAAACAACACGTCACCTAACCACTATATCTAGGGCAAATGTACTTTGTACAAAGACAAAACCAGTCACTGACCAAAATAATCGAGTTTATCCCGCGTTTATTTTCTATTGTAATGCCAGAGGGAAAACTAAAAATAGAGCCTGTTCTATTGTATCACAGATGCGTTAAAATTAAAGTAAACCATTTATAATCTATTGTTCTGTATAGTAAATAAAGTGTACGTTTCAACCTAGGCCAAGGCGATACATTCTCCTATTATTTACAATCTAAGCCTATGACCGTCAGTCTCGACATCGATAACTATAACATTCCCTAGCTGAGTTTTAATTATATGCTATCGTAGAGGTAACTTCACAGTCAAATAAGGTACGCGGGATGAAGAGGTACGAAACGCCAACACGGTACCAAATAGAGAAACGCTGAGCAACGATTAAAACGTGAATTAAGTAACAATAGTATCGAAGGATTCCAAAACCTTAAAAAATTCTTAAGATCAAATTTTGAGGTAGACTGTTACATAAATATGCATAAACGAGGTATACTTATTGTACGCGTAAAGAGACACGGTGAGGACGAACAAATTTTGGTAACATCGTTCCAAATTTGAAATAAATCGTTCCATCCGAACCGGTCGGAAAGAATAGAGGTAGTTTGGTTGATAGTATTTGGAACAACTCAACGGGTTTACTGGGTGTGGTTGGGGAGAGGTCCTTGTGGATGCGGTGTGACCTGGTGGCGATGCTCGCGGGCGATGTGGCGCCGCACAGTGTTGTTGCGAGTGAACGTCCGAGAGCAGTGCGGACATGGTACCCGGATGCCCTGATGCCGCTGTCGGATGTGAGCCCGCAGATTCGTCTCGTAGCCGTATAGTCTCTCGCAGTATGGACACTTTAATTTCTTTCCTGGAATTGTCGATATAACTTACATATTATTCTTTCTCTTTCTTGGAGGTTTGGGGTAATATAATCAAACTCTCGAAGTAACTACTTCAAATTCCTTATATAAATACCTAAACACACAAAATGAGAAATTTAATATATTAAAGAAACGCTAAAAGAAGAAATTAACTAAAGCAAAGATTATAAGTCCCCGTCTATTCATTTTGATAATTACTGTAAGTTTATAAGCAACATATTAAAGATATAATTTATTAAACTACCACTTGACAAACATACCACTTTCGATCCGGAAAAAGCCGTCCTAGCATCAAATTGAAATTGTTTAAGCATTATATAAATAAATTATTAAATAATATACCGTCAGCAGTAGCGATTCCGCCCGATTTGCTCGTGATGATCTTCGGTGGCCAAAGATCGGGGCTCGGCTTGGGCGGTACTGGTGAAGTCTCATGCTGGTTCTCGTGGTAATTGCTCGATGGTATGGAAACTGCGGGCGGTGATGCGTTGTTGTAACCAGGATGATATTCGTTCTCGCTTTTAATCCGTAAGTCTGAAGACGCAAGTAAAACCAATTATAACGGTTTTCTTACATCGCTACTTCAGTTATTTTCTTCTAAGACAAAATATAAGATCATTGCCGGATTATTTAATCAGTCGTAAATCAATAAATAATGTCTTGTATTTCATTTGCATTTATCGTTAAACTTTTCGATTATAACCCTTAGTTTTAAACTATGTCGCAACTTAAGTAAGAGATTTTTTCTAAATATACAGTACGAAATAATATTAGTGTAAGCTAGCACCACAACTGTTTTACTTTCCGGGTAGTCTGGCTTAGTGATTATAATTATAGTATTATTTTTAATAGTCCAGTTGTTAGAGACAATAGTCCTTTTAGGATTTGAGACTTGTATGCCACACCAAGGACGGACGCCCACATTACTAAATCGACTAGACTAGAATTACTATACTATATACTAGCCTTCTGCTCCTTGATCAGTTGGTAAGCGTTCCATTATTTCATCTTTTCCAGACCGTTCGTAACCGTTGTTTTTAACCGGATTGTTGACGCTGGACGTGCAATCTGGTGGATTCTCCTCATATCTAACACTTGCGCCAGGTGAAGACCGTGTATCTGGTTCGTCAGCTACACTACCACAGTGTGATGATGATGAGCTTTGCCTGAAATTTCCAAAAGTATAAAGGTTTAAAGCTCCTTCTCTTATTTCATGAATACTAAGTGATTGTTTTATTATATCATAGTTTTACTTTTATATTTTCTTTTTAAGTCGCATTTTACAAGATATAATATTCATTCGCAGCGTTAAATACATAAATGGATAGATTTCTTATATACTTATATTGTACATTATTTTAATTCTTATGGATATACCTGTAATTTCTGGTAAGGGGACTCTGAGACGGCGACGGCTTCGGGGGTGGCGGCCGTCGATGAGACGAAGAATGCAGAGGCAAGTGGGCTTGTGGGGCGTACCGCCCCATACCCCCGGTATTTCCGTGCATAGACATTCCATACGGTGGCATGATTGGGGCAAATGTAGTGGGGTGGGTCGGCGCCGGCGTAGATTCTTGGACTTCGCAATTACCAGACCCAGAGACTGGACTTGTCTTTATACGAGTTTGGACACGATCGCTGGACACTTGTTGGGTTTGGTGCTTCATCCATGCGTCTTGAGACATTTCCATGGACAAGCCCTTAACCTGAAATTACGCAATAAGGGCAATTATAACCTAGATAGTTCAGATACGTCATCTAATATATAAAATTCTCGTGTCACAGTTTTCGTTGCCATACTCCTCCGAAACGACTTGACCGATTTTGATTTTTTTGTGTTTTCAGTGCTATGAGAATCGGCCATCTCTATTGTTCATCCCCTTAAATGTTAGGGGTAGTCCACTCCTAAAATTTATTTTTAATTTTATTTTTTAGACATCTCATTTTTAATTTCTATTTTTTTTTTGATAAAAAACAAAAAAAAACCCCAACCCCCCCCCCCCCCCCCCCCCCCCCCCATTTTTTTTAATAGCATTTTATTAATTTATTTATATGGCAAAACAACGTTTGCCGGGTCAGCTATTTTGTATAAAAAGAAAAGTTTAAATGTGTTATTTTTTATCGTATATATACCAGCGATATGCGTATTAAATCGTTAAAGTGTTTTATTTTAATGAGTACTCGCGTAAACTACAGACGGTATTTAACTTACTTGTAAATTCTCCCCGCTCTTGAGAAAGCTGGAGAGTGCATCCTGGCTGACATGCACTTCACCCTTGTACATGAACTCCAAGAGGGCCTGCATGTTATCAGCCGTGGTCGCTTCGAGGATGACGTAACAAGCGCCTGCATGGCTGGGCGGGGCGGAATCAAAGAGCTCCTGGAAGTGTTTGCTGCAAGCCGCTAGTATCACCTTGTGGGCTTTGAACTGCCGACCTGGAATAACAAAATTATCATGAGCGTAATTACGAAAATTGTAAATATCGATATAAGGGACTCGAAGCCACCACGGCTTTGATGGGCGCGTTGGTCTAATGGTAGCTATGATGACGAATATGATGTTCAAAGGGCCGTGGGTTCGACACCTACCGGGTGCAATGTGTTTCTAATCAACTTGGTTGTTGAATGGGTTGAGAATATTCATTTATTTATCAGATCAACATAACCAATACATTTATTTATATATTGATAGCAATAAAAAACCACTAAGGTTTAAACTGATGTCATCGTGAGTTTACATAACATCTAATTAGCTAAGTTTATTTAATAAATATACAAGATAACTAGCAAGCTACCATATTGTCTAAGCATAGAATTAGAGAAAAACAATAACGCTAAAATAACTTAAGTACTTGATAGCAATCTTGTTGCATGTTATATGGCTGGGGTGTTTCCACATACCATCACGGGAACCCCATGTCTGTCTGTCCTTCCTCTATTATAAAAAAAAAACAACAACAATAAACTACGTCGATTGTTTACATAATGTATGTAGTGAATTTGTCGAATTTCTGAAATCTGAATCCTCTTTAATGAAAATTGAGAAAGACTTTCAGTGGTCACGGAGAGACCCCATGACCTCGGCTGCTGCAAAGCAGCAGTAGTGGGGCCGTAGTTAAAATAATTTTCAAATAAGTTTAACTAATATACATCGCGTTTTAAACAGTTAAAGTGTTTCATTTAAATCTGTTAAAAATGCTAATGAAACATCGGAAAATATGACCTTGAGTTATTCATGAAAACGATACAATACAAGAAATGCCGACTTATGTAATACATGTATGTATTCTTACTCTTCCTAAGGTATAATTTTTACATTTATCAATCCTTCTACGTCTTAATTATCTTCGCTTGTACTCGTAAAAGGTTTTTTCAATAGGATCGAATACCAAAAGTGAAGGGCAATTTGTACAGTCAGCAACAAAAAATTGTCAAAGGATTGCATTATTTTTTAAATTTATTGCTTATCAAAAGACACGCGATTTCTCATAGTGTCAAACTCATTAACTTATTACGTATATGAAAATGGTAAAGTTCATAAAACTAAAACGTAGTGGACAACGTTTAAATGGGAAGCGTGCATTGCACACGTGTATTTATATACATATAATGTTATTAAACAACACGACATCTCTAAATATGTAATCTGTACTAATATTATAGTTTGTTTGTTTAAACGTTCTAATCTCAAGAACTTCTGGTTTGAATTGTAAAATGATTTTTGTGTTGGTTTGACCATTTGTCGAAGAAGTCATTAAGCTATTAAACATCAAATGCGATCAATAGGAATGAAGAACAAAGGCAGTGAAATAACTTTATTTATAACGTTGGGTGCGCTGCGAAAAGATTATAAATAAATAATTTAAAAAATGTCCGTAATGGTATATCTATATCTTTTCAGATTAACTCACAAGAAACGTTTCTTCGACATACTTGATGTGGCTAAGGAAGGTTTGCCACGGCAGCTAGTATGCAATATATATTGGTATATAATATAGTCTTTTGTTTCCAAACTTATTAATGAATATTTTTTTAAAAAGTTTTCAGGTATTTTAAGCTATAGTATGGAAAATACAGATTTACTATGCTATGGTTGGCTATGGTTTTGTTATAATAAGGTACAAAGTAAGAATTGTGTGTAGCTTACGAGCTTAGTACACATTTAAATAAAAACTTTGAACTGGGGGTTGAAGATATGCGTGTGTGTGACATTAGGAACACTCCATCTTCAGTCCTCTGTGACCACGACTGCTGAAAAGCATCCGAAACGTCGGGCCGTAGTTAAAACCGATTTATAATAAATTACAACATTTCGCGCTTTAAACCGTTAAAAGCATTTTATTTAAGGTACGAAGTAATTTTAAAATAATAGCCGTGCAATGGTAACATATCGTACATCTGTTGATTACGTCAGAGCTACCGAATAGCGCGGAACTAAATAAATAACCTTGGACCTACGAACCGCTAAGCCACTACCTATTCTAATGCGATTTTACAAAGTGGCTGTGACGTCTGTATTTAACAGCTGCATGATATTCTTAAACAAATACCAATAAGACAAGGTTATTCAAGATGTACTTGCCTCATATATTACCTAATACTTCTATAAGAAATTGAAATCAGTTCTGTTGAGTTAAAGTAAATCTATTTAATTATAGAACTATTTTAAACGAATTGAAACTTTAACTCTATCTTTTATTTAATTAACTTAATCGATTAACTGTCAGATAGCTAAATGTGCTAACTTAATAAGTTAAAAATAAGATAACTAATATATTTCGCGTTTTAAACCGAAAAATTTCGAGACTCGAGTAAATTTCAGACAATATAATATATAAATCGCTATTCGTTTTTAAGAATATTTTAAGGGAAGGATAAAATTGTGTGGCTTTTTCAGCAGTTTATTATAAGCATTCAGAGTTCTATACCTGACCAAAAACCATTAACCATTAATCACGTTTTCCCGAGATTCGAATCTAGTAACCCTTTGCGCACAACGCAATGCTAGTCTGCGTAATATTAATTGTCAGTTAATTTATTATAATTGCTCGTGAAACCTTATTTATACGTAAAATAGAGTTTTAAGCGTGTATGCGTCGAAATATGCAAATATTAATTCAATATTACTAGGGTTGACGTCAATAAAATAATTTAAAAATCTAGCAGTACCGAAAATAAAGCCTAGATTTTGGAATTGGATTGGAATTTGTTGTTAAGAATTTCTGATTTTATACTGTGTGTAGTTTACGTGAATAGTACCTACACATTAAGGTAAAACACTAACGGTTTAAAACGCGATAAAGATTAGTTAAACTTATTTGAAAATTGTTTTATATACGGACCGACGTTTCTTCAAGCAGATCCATAACATATTACTTAAAACATAATTATTTGAATGTCACGTAGTTAACGTAACGCACACCACAAGTAGTCTTTAAAATAATTCTCATTTTAAATACTGTCTATAGTTTACGCGAGTAGTACACATTTAAATAAAACACTTTAACGGTTTAAAACGTGATATACTTATTTGAAACGTCGGGCCGAAGTTAAAAATCATTTCCAAATAAGTTTAACTAATATATCGCGTTTTAAACCGTTAAAGTGTTTTATTTCATTCTCACTCTGTTCTTTAGGTAACCAAAATTGTAAAGTAATTGAACGATAAAAATGCATCAGAATTTTCCGTTTCTAACGTTTGGATAATGGCTAAGTTTTTATAGAGGAAATACGATGTATTGATATTTTTTGCTATGCAGCCTTGAACAATGAGTAGCATTACCAACCTCTGTACAGGTCAATGATCTTTTTAAAACTTCAGTGCAACATTATATTTTTTTATGACAGAGGATAAGCAAGGTTTCACTTGATGGAAAATTAAATTTTAATCTTTAATATATCTAGGATATATTAAACCATTGCGGCCGTTGGGGCAAAAAGATTCTGGAGTGGAGACCACGTACCGGAAACCTGGACGACCTCCTACCAGGTGGACCGTTGACCTAGTCAAGGTAGCAGGGAAACGCTGGATTCCACTAGCGAACGACCGGTCGTACTGGAAGTCTATGGGGGAGGCCTATGTCCAGCAGTGGACACCGAACGGTTGAATCGATCGATCGATATCTGGGATGCGCTGTCGGTCTATTTTAGAAACGAATGTTGGAAATCCATCAAAACTCTGATTAGCAAGACTTCACAGGTTATCCTTTTGTGGACGGCGATTTTCTAGGTAATTGATCAAACATTCCGACCACTAAAGCAGCAAGACCGTATCGTTCTTGAAAGGATTTTTTAACTATGACGAAATTTTTGACGTTAACTAAATACCATTGAGATAGATAATAAATGTTACCATGTCAAAACAACGGCTTAAAGCGTCTCTAATTACAAAATTAATAATCTTTAACTGTCCGGAAAATGTTGTTTTGTTCTAAACAAAACGGTCCTGCTTCTTAAGATATACCTACACGTAAACAAACACTGTCGCGGACTTTTTTTAGATCATTAAAAAAATATTTTTTTCGTATTATTACATATCCTTTGGTTTCTTCACCTGTTATCGCAACACGTGCAACTGAAGTACCCTTAAAACTATATAATTTTCACGGTATTTTTTTCACATTTCCTACTCTTTCTTTGTTATCTATTATTTGCAGTTTGATGTTGTATTGCATGAAACCAGTAGTTTAAAGTCATCCGGCACAAAATATATATATTTTAAATCCAGTCGTTCCCGACTATTGCGCGTCCAGATAAACAAACTCTTCAGCTTTGTATATTAGTATAGATTAACGCGTCAATAGTGTATGTTCACGTACTATGGTTATTATTAACACGTGAATAAGATTAGAGCCACCCATCTAGTAAATAAGTTAAGGAGCGAGTTTGTTCAAATATCCAATCAAGGACACCATAATTTGAATGGTGTCTTGCAATAGGGAACCTTTTGGGGTACCGCAGTGCAGTGCTTAGTGAGGCAGCGCAGATATTCTGTATCTTTTTTACTCCTCCATTTTTCTTAAAGGCATTCTTTCACTCGGTCATATTTTATATATTTATATACTTCTAAATATAGTATATAGATATTCAAATAAGATTTAGGTCTTAACAAGTGCCTAAATAATAGATCCGCTATGTATGAATTATCTATATTTTTTTCATAATTTATTTATTATATAGATGTTATAGTTTTACGATGGGTATTTATAGGTTTGAAATAGAACTTACAGTTTTCACGAATAGTATTTTTCAATAACGAATTAACTCCTGTCCATAGGTCGTGTAATATGCCAAATATTTTGGAATCGCATCTTAAATAGTTGATATAGAATATAGGACTTGGGGTAACTACTTCTGTTAAGTGATTTTCTTGTGTGTTCTTATCAGTCATTAAGAAATCTCAGTGCAAACTCCTAAATCTCTTGGTTCCAAATAAA